TGTTCTGGACGAAACCCTTTATTTAATCTATGGCAAGCGTTGACTTCCCATGACTGATGATATCTCGTCTAGCCCGCATTTTTAGTACTGCTCAATAATTGTTTCTATTTAGACCAACTATACAATTATTATGTTACAAAATTCACGAGCCAATACATTAATCCACTAGGCTATTTTTCCGTAGGACAATTCTCTATGAAGAACTTGGAGCCATAAACCTAGTGCAAATACAAGCCTCCACTGTGAAACTACTCTACAACACTTTTTTAGGCAATTGAAGCACCTCTCCAATCTATGTTGAAAATATATGCTACAGTGTGAAATATTTGTTATTCATGCATTTCTACGCAGACCCCACGTTACGATTGCTCGCAAGCAAATACAGGATTCTAAATATAGAAGTTTCAAATAAACAACTTTGATGTGCAGGTGGTATAATAGATAATCGATCGGAATTGTTCATCGGAGAGCCGACTTCCAATGCACATTGGGTTTTCTATATACACTTACGTGCAAATTCCCTTAGGAAAGTAATGAATTCACCTCTTCCCCCAAGCTATGGGTTAATTAGTAAAACTCATACCCCTAAACCATTATTATCTAAAATAAGTAGGACATATCACTAAACTATTATTATCTAAAAAAATTTCTTACATTCTAAAAATATTTTCTGGTATTAAATAACCTGTAAAAGTTTGATAAGCCGTAAAAAATAAATCAGTCAATGAAGCCAAAGGTGGCATGGCATGAATATAAGACCTATTTATAATGGTGTGTTCATAAACGTAAATATACAACAATATTGACGTGATATAATGGTTAACAAGCTTGTCACTCCAGATAAAGTGCGAGTGGATAGTGAGTCCGATCCTCACCGGTACTCCTTACTTTTGGCCCTGTGCCACATCTAAGTTACGCTTAGAAAGCCACCATCTGGGCATTTCGACGTGGTGTAATGATTAACAAGCATGTCTCTCCAGATCAATTACGACTGAGTAGTGAGTCCTCTCTTCACCTGTGCTCCATACTTTAGGCCTTGTGCCACATCTAAGTTAAGCTTAGAAGGCCACCATCTGGGCTCTTCCTCGTTGTGTAATGGTTAACAATCTTGTCTCGCTAGATCAATTACGACTGAGTGAGTTCCTCACCGGTGCTCTATTGTTAAAATTTCGGTCTTATGTAACTCGCCATATAGGCCAGTACCAATTACTGTCCAGTCTCTGTGACAACTCTAACTTCTTTTTTTTTAAGCATTCAACCCCACGCAAGGTGGGAAGCGACTAGCACTCAAGGGGTTACAGAGTTGGAGCGAGAACAAAGAGGAGTGATAGAGGAAAGGATGACGAGAAGGATAGGGGATAGATCAAGGCATCTGGAGACGTCGATTGACATTACATTTGAATAGCTGGAGATTATAGCTATCAGGAAAACAATAAATAGGGAGGTAGTTTCACGGGCGAGAAGTGCGAGACATGAAGCTATTGGAGTAGAAGAGACGGCTACATTTAACAGTTTCGACAGTGAAAGGATGAGAGCGATATGCCAGCCTATTTGAGCGCTTACATTTATGAAGTCTGGGAACCAGCGAAAGCAGCTCATCGGAGCAGTTGCCATGAAAGTATTTGTAAAAAAGACAGAGAGAGGCAACGGCACGTCTGTGAGAGAGCGACTGCAGACGAGATGCCAGATCAGGGCCAATTACATTGCATATCCGTCTTTATCAAGGACGTTGAGACAATTAGAAGGACTCCAGAACATATATGGCATCCATACTCCATGCAAGGGCAAATGGTTGATTTGTAGATTTGAAGGATCGAATCCGGCGAGAAAAATTTCCTGACGCGGCATAGGGCGCCAACTTTCTTAGCGGTGGACGAAGCTATTGACTCAATGTATTTGTTCTATCTCAGGTCACCGGACAATGTGAGACCGAGCAGTCGCAGAGAGGTGCTCTCCTGGAGTTGAGCGTCAGACATTCTAAGGGGAGGCAGGGATGGTTCTCTCTGGTGAGTAATAGAGCGCAGTTTTGTTTTTTGAGGCGTTAAAGTTAACCAACCAATTCATGCCCCAGTCAACAATCGATTGGAGGTCTTTTTCAAGACAAACGGCCAGGTTAGTTTTGTCGGCGACACTAGATTGTTTTTGAGGCAGGAGTAAATAATAGTGTCGTCCGCATGCAAGCTTGTCACTCCAGATAAAGTGCGAGTGGATAGTGAGTCCGATCCTCACCGGTGCCTACTTGGGAACCTATGACATCAGGAAGACTTATCAACAACCGTCGCATTTTAATGCAACATGGGAGATGCTGCCGCAAGGATAAGCCGTAAAAGCAAGCTCTCTCACTTTGATCCTAATATGGATTGTAACGTTTTTAGAATTTTTGAATCTCTCCTTTAGCTGTGTAACCCTCAAACGTGACGTTGACGACCCTTTATCGTTGACAACACCTACCACGCTTTTAACTCACACCTCCCACTCCTTCGACTCTAAGCTCTACCTCTTCTCCTCTCCTCCTCAGTTGCTAGTCGCTAGCTTTCTTATTAATATAGACGTCTTTTTATATCTGAGTTGGACTTCTGAATCAGACTGGAATAAGATCTCCTTCAATAAAATGCACAAAACCTTTGATAACTCAAACAGCTGGTGTACAGAATATAAAGAAAAACCGGTTGAATAAAATGTCTATATTATCTACTGGAGAATCAAGCTTTCTACAGTAGGAATGGGAATTTGGAAATTGTTGCAAACACTAAAGTCAGACAACAGTTCCTCAGTTCTTCAAAGTAATAACCAGTCTACCGTCATTTCCTCAATTCTTCTGTTAGGCGTGTGTCTTTGTTTTCGCTCCGGTCCAGGAATTGCGGGTGTGCTCTTTAGCGACAACTCTCTTGTGGGTAATGTCGGGCCGCTCGGTGGTGACTCCTCGTTGGGCCCTATCTGCGACTGTCAGGACTTACTGTAGGCCGGTTTCCCCCCACGTCTGTCTGGGGACCTGGGTGCTGTCGTTTATATAGACGACCCCTTTCAAGAATTTTTTTGTTATATATATATATATATATATATATATATATACACACACACACACATATATATATATATATATATATATATATATATATATATATATAAAATGAACATTGAAGTCAACACTTAGAGGCGACAGGCTGTGTCATGCTAGATGCAATCGCCAGGCCACGAGTGTTGTTCTTTTTCTCGGCTATATATATATATATATATATATATATATATATATATATATAGGTCAGTGGTGCCTTGTTGGTAGTCTATTTTGGCGGTTATTTTGCCGGAAGTGGTTTATTTGTTTATTTATTTATTTGGCTTAAATTATTTTGCTTGTTTTTATTTATTTTTATTTTTATTTCTTATCTTATATATTTATTTTTATTTTAATCGGTGTTTTATTAACGTAGTAAAATTTGTTTATATCGTTTATGTAATAGTTTTGTTTTGGTTTTGGAAGATACTTAAAGCTATTTATTCAATATTGGCGTTGATTGCTGTAGTTTATTCTAACTATTATTTTGGCAGAAGCAGTTCTTAATTTGCTTATTACTTCATTTATTTATTTGGATTGATTATCTTTACTTGATTTTTCTAACGGTTAATTTATCGGGATCGGTTTATTAGTTTAATTATTTATTTGGATTAATTTAGATTAATTTATTTTACTTGATTTTTATTATTTATTCATTTGTATATTTTTATTTATTCTTTTTGGTTTTCGATTTTCAAGTAACGTAGTATTTTTTATCGTTATATAACAGTTATAGCTATGTTTTTCTTCCGATTTTTGGTTTGATTTTTATATATATTTTGGTCATAATGCTTTGTTAATTTGTTTATTATTTACTTTATTTATTTGGGTTCATTTATTTTGTTTTTTTCATTTTTATTTATTTATTCTATTTCGTCTATTCTGACGGGTGTGATTTGGTAATTTGTCTGGGTTAATTTATTTTACTTCTTAAATTCATTTTACTTTTAATAATTATTATGCAATTACTATATCCCCACCAAATGACTATCCTGTAATTTCATACACTTAAACGTTGAAAGAGGGCCAGCGCCAGGTTACTACTCTCGCAGAACGAGAATATGAACGACGATGAAGTTTTAGAAATAAGGTGAACTAGAAGAAAACAGTTTGCATTTCGGAGACATTTATGAGAAAAATAGGGCCTGGAAAAGTTAACATCCACAAGTCATATTAACAGAATTAGGAGCAGAAGGAAACATCGAGTAACCTACGAAAAGAGTCTGTGTGCAATGGGAATAAATGGCCAAGATAAAATGTCAAGCGTTCTTTAGATTTGTAATACGTAAGAAGTCATGGAGGGACATAGCTAAACGTCACGTGATCTTTTTTCTTCGTGTTTATTAAAGCTTTTCTATAGAAAATCATTATTCATTCATTTACGTTAGTGTTGCAGCATACCTACGGACGATAATGGGCATGTACTCATTCACATAAATACGGTAGTAAATACTGTATGTTGGTCTGCAATTGGAGATTCGTCTCCAGCTGTGCTGGTCAAACTCTATGCCTCCGGGCAGAGACGTTACCAGACGAGGCTATGGTGAAGGGCAGAGTCTCGTCTCGGAAAATAGCTACCCGCTCCCGTTTCATACGGGGTCTACGCGGATATTTTAGTCGAGCCTACCGGCTCAGATGCCCCACATTAAATTCGGTCTTGTGCTACATCTGACCACGTGGGGCGGTTGGTAAATATCCTGCAGCCGGAGATTCGTCTTCAACTGTGCTGGTAACACTCTCTGCCTCCGGGCAGAGATGATCCCCCAGACGAGACTTGTCGAAGGGCAGAGTCTCGTCTCGGGAAATAGCTACCCGACCCCGTTTTATATAGGGTCTACGGGGATTTTTTCAATAGACTTTGCAAATCACTACGTCTTCACTAATTTCAATTTAAATGCATGAAAATGAGTAGGAAAATGAGGTGTTTTCACAGGGTCGGCGCGAAATGGCACCTGAAAACGACCCCGAAACTGAATATTGGAGACAACTGAAAAAGACGAGAGAAAGGGTTGCTGATGAAAATAAAGTGTTATTTGTTGTGGACTCAGTCGCCGAGTTAGACCGTTTCCCTGACGATCTGCAGTTTCCTTTTCTTCTAAACACAGAAATAATTCTCTTCTGTCCCAGCATACGTCGTGGCGGGATATTTCCTTGCTATATTTATTCAGATATTCTCTTTATCCATGAAGGCTGTTGTTCGCAAAACCTGGAAACCCACTCTCTACGTGAGTCTTTTATGCGGACTAAAGCAAAAAGCAATCAACAAAACCTTTTAGAAATATCATATGATGAGCAATACCTATTTGTCAACACTTACGGATTTTTTAATGGCTTTTTATCTAGCCTTATTTCTTTATTACTATAAACGTACCTGTTAGTGGACACACATATTTGCGTTGCTATCCCGTTTTTTTTAATTATTTTCTTAAACTGATTTCTTGTCGTGGGGGGGGGGGGTAGAGCCGAATTTAGATAAAGAGAAGCTCTCAGTTATTTCAATAATTTGAGGTACCACCAAATCCCCCATTCTGACGAGTAGAGGAAAATAGAAGAGTGAAGGGTTATTTAAATTCTACAATGCGTGATGATAGCATATGTAAGAAATGCCTATGACAGTGTATATATATATATATATATATATATTGTCATAAGCCCTAGTCGACGAATGGGTTTATAAGGCGATCATACGCCGACCAGAAGATATATACATTCTCACACCTGTGGAGAGATACAAGCTATCTCTCCCAGATCGAGACAATGGACAATTGGTAAACAAAAAATATTTTTAAGAACATTGTTCGATTAGTATAATCGAACAGCAATCTTTCCCAGGTCCGCTTCGTTTCCAACACGAATACTGACCCACAATACAAGGATGAACTATAAGGCTTAGCGATTTTTGACACAAGAATTTTAATACGTAAAAATATACAAGTATTAAAATAAAAGAAAATATAAGTATGAGTTAAAATATCTGACGACCAGATCTCAAGAATTACGTTGGGATATCAAAATTCACCTAACTCCAAATGGATTCAACTGAACCCGAACATACAAAAATATAAGTATGAATTAATATGAATGCAGAAGCCAACGCATACACAAAAGAGATGGGACAGGAGTTACAATTATTGTTTTTACATGTGGAAAGGTGCTTGCAAGAACATAATATTAATGGATGTATGTATATCTTTCTATTACGGGTCCAAAATATGATTACTTATCTTTTATATTCAGTTCTCTTTTTTATCATTGTCCTTTCTTTTCTTTTCTCGACACAAACACAATTTCACACACAGTCCGGCTGTAACAGAGGTATACACTTTCTTCCTCTCTTTGTTTTGCCTTTTTCTTTCCTTCCTTTTTCTTCTGTAGACAGTTCGGTTTCCAAACCTGACTCACTGCAACAGGGATGTACACTTTCTTCCTCTCTTTGGTTTTCTTCTTTCTTTCCTTCTTCTTTACACAATTCAACTTGTAACAGAGGTATATGCTTTCTTTTCTGGTTTTCCTTTTTCTTTAAACGCAGGCTGAATCCTCAGCGTATAAATTTCTCTGCGTCTTCAATTTGGGGTTATCGAACAGGAATACTTCTTGTTATATTTCTTGTCCGGAGTTGCCTGGGGTTGAACTGGATAAGTTCCATCACTATCAAATGAGTCTTATCTTTCCGTTCATAAACTATCGACGCTTCGACTTCAGGTCTTGCTTCTTTCAAGTCAAGACAGCAACTGATTCTCGAGTGAATCTCTGACTGTCACGTGTCTTAAGTTTTGGCGCGAATTCCAGCTTACATCCGTCCCCTGTCTAGCTTCTGTCTAGACATTTGTCGCTACGGGTAATTGGCTCAGTCAACCTTTTGACCTGCCTTCCCAAAATGTCATAAGACTCCCACGTGACCTTTATTCTGTTGCTAGGCGGAAATTAATCTTAATAGATGCGTGTATGCGTGTCTATGCTATCTGCTTTCATCACAATAATATATATATATATATATATATATATATATATATATTGTGTATTTAGGCAACATATTTTCATTTATACACGTTTCATTAAATAATATAGACAAGTGTTGTCTATTTATTTTATGTAAAATTTGTTCGTAACATCTGATAAGTTTGATAACATTATCATTAAACGAAGAAAGAAATTCACAATATTGATCCATATTTTTTTAATATAATCTAAGCTTTCGGCTTACTTAAGCCATTATCAAAGATGTAAATCACAAACATATTAAACAATATACGGACACGACAGTGATGATAGTCTGTCATTGTTTACATAGTTGATCACTACGCAACGATAAACACGCGCATATAAGACGCTAGAAGCGAAAATCGCACCGCATCTCATCTTTCTTCGTTTAATGATAATGTTATCAAACTTATCAGATGTTACGAACAAATTTTACATAAAATAAATTGACAACACTTGTCTATATTATTTAATGAAACGTGTATATATATATATATATATATATATATATATATATGTTCTGTATATTTAGGCATTCAAGCAGATTTAGTTATATAATTTAGACATACCATGTCAATTAGTTTTCGTTGCGATCCTTTTCATGTTCGCAGAATAATTTCTTAATCTTAGAAAATTGATTAAGAAAAATACCCTGTTCTTTCAAATAGTTTTTTTTTTATTTTTATTTTCCCAAATAGTTTCAATCTCATCTGAGAACATCTTCAGAGGGTTAAGTTGTCTGTGAGTATGTATATACTGTTAAAAAAACAAACACGTGTACTTTGAAATCTAGAACGCTGCATAAGCGGTGAAAAAGAACAGTTGAAATGCATTAAATTTATAGAAATACATATACATATTCACATTCCTATAAATCAAGGTATATACATCAATCAATCTATATATTCAGTTAAAAGTAAAAAATAAAATTCATCTCTGATAATGTCTGAAAGTATAGACTAAAGCCCTCGGACATGCAAAACATTTGGACAGTTTTTATGTAATTTGAGCCCAGAAAAGAAAAAAAAAACAGAACAATTGAATAAAATAAAAAAAAAAACACCCACAGTACCTGTTTCAGTTGTTTTTAATGAAATGTGAATAAAAGAGGGATTGCTGCCCAAATACATAATTTTACACACACACACACACACACTCACACACACACACACACACACACACACACACACACACACACACACACACACTCACACACACACACACACACACACACACACACACACACACACACACACACACACACATATATATATATATATATATATATATATAAACGCTGTTTCAATAATTTGGACCGATTTTAAAATAAGTTTCACTGAATTAAGTTTAAGCGTCTAATGTCTTTTTTCTTTCAGAATTGGCGGACATTTGGGTGATATTATTTTTCAAACATAATTGCCTTGACGTAAATAACATGATCCAATATAGAAATAAATAAATTCTCACCAATAACACTGATTTATTTACTGCTGACTTCGATTCATCTTAATGAAACACCTTTATATATAATCCGTCTTAATGAAACACCCTTTATATATAATTGCAAAATCCACAAGTAGTGGGTATCATTGAAAGGTGGCTTTTTAGTATAGAAATATTACAAATCTTAAAAAAAACTGCTTTTGTCTGGTGTATTTTTATTTTTTTCGTTTTCTTTCTTTCCCATTTTTTCTTTTTTATTTTCTTTCTTTTTAAACCGGTTTTGTCTGGTTTATATTTTTTACTTGCCCGGCTGAATTTATTTACTAAAATATATTGGCATGAAGAGGCAGGTAAAAATTAACTATTGAAATAAATTTATGTAAATTTAAATAGTTTTTACTCTCTCTCCCTCTCTCTCTCCCGCTCACTCTCTCTCGTTCTCTCTCTCTCTTAGTAGCTGTGTCGCCTTGCTTGAAATACACACACACACACGCAGTACAGTTTCGCTGTATCACACCTCCTCAGTGCGACTAGACATCCGAATACTTCAAGCCCGAATCGAAACCCAAACGATCAGTCAGAGCTTCTACCACTGAGCTATCTTCATACGACAAAGAGAAACAACTAAATCTAGCGTATTGTTTTTACGAATGTAAACAAATGCCAATCAGCCGGAGTGCTTCAATTCTTTTTAATATATATATATATATATATTTTAAATAGACCACTTTAAGGTTCCGTGTAATAAATTATTTCACCACAGCCCTTTTAAAGGACTGTGGATCATCAGACTTTACTTCCAAACAAAAAATGAAAAGAAAATTTACACATTTTTGACGGGTCGTATTAAACATATGTAAATTATCGAAGTGAGGAAGTGAGGGGGGAGAGAGAAGACATGAGTGAGTTAGCAGATATTAACACATTTAAATGGTTAACTTAACGGAAGTTATATATTGATATCGAAGGGGTAGAGAAGAAAAAACCCATAGAGAGAAAAAGAGAGAAGGAAGTTATGAGAGAAAGTGTCACTAATTTTCTTTGTAAAAAAACAGGCTAGAAACAGACGCTGTTATTTTGTTTTACTTTGAAAGTGTTATTTTGGGGGTTCATAAAGATTATAATGTCTGATATAAATTTGAATGTCTCTAAACTGTCTACAAATAATTTAATTGATTTTTGTTAAATTTTTTAATGTTCCATGTAATAAATAATTTTTTTTAAGCTCTCTGGATTTTATCCTCCTTAGGTTTACCCATTTTTTAATAAATTATATATATATATATATATAGATAGAGAGAGAGAGAGAGAGAGAGAGAGAGAGAGAGAGAGAGAAAGAGAGAGATGTATATTAATAAATAAACATACCTATGTTTGTGGTGCAATTTAAACTTTAATGGTTTCACAATTCGTGAGGCACATATGACGATTGAACCCCTTGTTATAGTTGTATTTAAAAACACTGGGCCTCATTGGAGGATCGCTAAATTATACTCAGATTCAAAGCTCAAAGAATATATAAACCCAATATATTATTGGTATATACCAGGTGTAAGAGCAAAATCCTATATCAGCATCGGATAATTGTTCATCCCACAAAATGTTGTTTAATATCTAAAAAATAACGCTAAACTAATTGGGATTCTTTTTTCCAGGTTTTCAGATAAGACTTTTAACCATCTTGACACAATTTGTCGTAAGAATCGCTGAAACCCCTTTGAGTTATTCAGCTAAAAAGAAAACAGTTTAAAATCATTTTGTGTCAGCCCCACTCTGAACTACCAATTGATGAATGGTGAAAGAAAAAAATATCATTTAAGACTTCAGTAATGGTACGAGCATTCATATTCCGGCCTCCATCTTCAAGGTCCATTTAACGACCATCAAGAGAACGGTGAATAAGTTTTAAAAAGAGGGAAAGTGGAGATGAAAACTGGAGCAGGAGGTCGCAATAAGAAGAGGTGCGAGGGTCATCATTTCAACTTAGAGCTAAATACATTCTTATTCTAAGAAATGGACAATTTTACAGTTACACTCGTCACACACACACACACACAAATATATGTATATATATATATATATATATATCATACTTATTATAAAACCCAGGTTGTGTGTGTGTGTGTGTGTGTGTGTGTCTGTGTGTGTGTGTGTGTGTGTGTGTGTGTACGTTTATATATCGGATCGGATTTCCTACATTTTTCAACCGACTTCAGCAAAACTTCACAGGACTACGTCAAATTACCTTGCGGTGGTTCTGACAGCGCCAAAAATTGGAAAAACACAATTGTTTTTGCACGAAATCAATTTGAAAACACGATTAAGAGGCATCACTGTCGCCAGAATGAAAGATGGACAACTCATATCAAGTTATACTTATTATAAAACCCAGTGTGTGTGTGTGTGTGTGTGTGTTCGTTTATATATGGGATCGGATTTTCTACATTTTTCAACCGGTTTCAACAAAACTTCACTTTTTTTTTTGGCAGGTAGTGTTTCTTATTGTCTTGCACACTTTTTCCTTTATTTTTACATTCAGAATGCTTTAAAAATTCCATTTACAAGACAATTGTTTATAATAAAATTCTATTCAATCGATAGACTCATGACGACGGAAAACAATGTTTTTGTTTGAATTTGGGTTTAACCAATTCGTAAAAAAAAAACTAATTAAGACATGCATGCCCGTCAACCTTAAATAATAATCTTTGTCAATTTTATTTTTCAGTCTTTATCATGGTCGATACTTGATCTATCTCTTACTGTTACATCCCCGGGCAACGCCGGGCTTTACTGCTAGTATATATATATATATATATATATATATATCTTATGCAACTACCGGAAATGAAAAAAATATGGCACTTAAAGTCTCAGAAATAAATCCATCAGAAAATATCAAATTAAAGAAACAGACTCCATTTTGTGTCGTACTTTGTCTGCTATATTTAAGCATATCTCCAAAAATTATTTTTTATTATCGAAAGTCTCATTGTTTACAAATAGTTCATTGAGTAGTCTCATCTGTCTTTTTTTTTTTTTTCAAACGCTTCTTTTTGAAATTCTTTTTCGGAAGAGACCAATTGTTAGATTCTGCTAAAAGGACAGACTTTTAAATGGAATGGTTATTTGGTATTTAGGAAAAAAGTCCGAGACGGAAGCTAGATCTTCTCTACACAAAAATATTTATAAGCCATCGAAATTATTTTGGTCATTTTATTAACTCAATACACCATAAATCGACTTATGATTGAAAATCACAACTTCATACACAGTTAATATCTATCTATCTATCTATCTATCTATATATATATATATATATATATATATATATATATATATCAGTTTGCATCTATCGCAGTCTGTACATATCTATCTAAATACAGTCTGTTCGTATATATATATATATATATATATATATATATATATATATATATATATATATCACGCTCTGTTCGTTTCTATCTATCGCAGTCTATTCGTTTCTATCGGCCTATTACAGTTTGCTCGTATGTATGTATGTGTATATATATAAATATATATATATCCAGATGATCCAGAACCCTGTTAAAGGGGTTATGGTGAAAGAGCTTATTACATGGAATCTTAACGTGGTCTGTCTTTTATTCAAACATATCTGCTCTGAATTTTACATTGAGCTCTCTGGATATCATCCTCCTCAGGTCTACCCATACGGATTACCTAAATTTGCATAAACTAAATATAAATATATATATATATATATATATATATATATATATATATTTTTGCAGATATGTAGCGAAGGAATCATAATTTTTTAATTATATATATATATATATATATATATATATATATATATATATATATATCACACACTGTTTCTATATCTATTTCATCATCATAAGTCAACCGAAGTTGGGAGCATTGATCCAATGCGTACAATTCTTTTTTTAGCTGTATATTATGTATTACGCCAGGGCTAGATACAATTTTGAATTCAGAATTACTTTCTCCTAGACCGGTTGCCACTCAAGGTTATAGAACCCAGTCTCTACTGTTATTTACATATAGCTGGTATCTACCTGTCGCAGTAGTTCGTATCTATCTATCTATCTATCTATCTATCTATCTATCTATCTATCTCATTCTGTTCTCATCTATCAATCTATCTATCTTTTTATCTTTCTATCACAGTCTGCTCGCATCTATCTATCTATCTATCTATCTATCTATCTATCTATCTATCTCAGTCTCCTCATATCTATCTATTACAGTATGTTCTAACGTATTTATCTATGTATTAAACATGAGGACGGAATTTCTATTTTCTGTCGCTATTATTTATCACATTTTTTTTAACAATTAGCAAAATATTTGGCACACACCTTTATACTTATGCATCAATCGATATAGACATAACGCTTAATTAATAGTTGACAAGGTAAGTCCTTCTAATACAACTTCTCAGGGGATGATATATCGATTTTTCAAAACATTTCCTTCTTTACAGGACCCGGTCAAGAAATCGTTTCAACACCGCCTATGTCTACTTGCTGTAGTTTATTACAAAATTAACGATGTTTTTTTTAAAACCGTCTCCGATAGATCGCTGTCTTTGAATTGATTCGCGTAGAGAGTGCATTCAGTCAGTTATATGATATGCTTGATACCCACTTACGTGTCTTTCGATACACGACTGACGAGGCAGTAGGTTGTCATTTCTTTCTGCGGTAGAACAGTTGCTATCCAAGGATATAGAACCCGGTTTGTCCTAGGGGAAGAAGAAGAGGATTCATACCTTTCCCAAGGGTATTAGCACGTAAGTGAATGTAATGGATTCGACTGGGATTCGAACTCGGTTCTCCAATTCCCCAATCCGAGCCGCTATCCATTACTCCACACCTAAGTCAGTTATGTGCCATCCGTGATACAGGTTTAGGCGATAATGTATCTTTCGATACATGACTGACGAGGCGTTTTTTTTTTCCCGTTGCTATTTCTTTCTACGATATATCCAACGCTATAGAACCCGGTCTGTCCTGCTATTTTCCCATAGGTGGCGGGAGAAGAAGAGGATTCATACCTTTCCCAAGGGTATTAGCACGTAAGTGAATGCAACAGATTCTACTGGAATTCGAACTCGGCTCTCCGATTTCTCGATTCGAGCTGCTATCCATTACGCCACATTATGTTTATAATTGTGGAAACTCCCGTTTTACCTAGGTTGCTGATGTGGGCATCGTTTCACTTCTTCGCGTTGCTGTAAAACGGGAGGGGAGTCGTTTCTGTTTTCTCGCAAGCACTTTCTGTCGTCAAAAGTTACTTCCCTTACCTTATAGGGAAAAGAAGTCTATAAACGAGATCGGCCGAAATTCAGTGAGCATGACGTCAGTCGGAATGGCGATTAGAGTGATAATAATTATTTTCAGAATTAAAAACGTTAAAATATTTAATTATAAATACGGAAACTATTCTGGTAAACTCAGACGAGGGAACTAACGTCGGTTGAAATTTCTGCTTCAATCGTTACCTCAGAGCATAAGAAACAGTGAAACTCCTCAAAGATGATATGTCGGCGTGGGCTCTCGGTTCCCGAATTGTCATATCTGCCCTCTATTTGATATTGTCTGACCATCTTTTGTGCTGTCGTCCTGGTTTGCGTCCGCGTACAACAGTGCCTTTCAACATGCTTTTGCAGAAGATTGCCGTGTGACGTGGCCAAACCATGCCATCTTCCGACACTTAATAGTGGCTAGAAGAGACCCCTGCCGGCTTATAAATCTTACCCCGAGCATATTCATTGGTTTTGTGCTCCCATTAAAAGATGTAGATGACTTTTCTCAAACCTTTCTTCTCAAACGCCTGAATATTTTTTCTTGTCTCAACCAGGAGGATCCAAGTCTCACACCCGTAGAGGAGGGTGAGTACGACCAGCGATTTGTAGATATTAAACTCTGTATGGAAGATGTTCCTCTCACATATTAGAACCATGCTTGCCATCGCTAATGTAGTTGTGATGATCCGTGTGTGGATTTCTGTGTTTCATGTCCATTTTTGATAGGGTTGCACCCAAGTACTTGAAGCTGGATACTTCCTTTAGTGGTTTCCCATCCATGTTGTCACTGCCCCTGGTGTTGTTCGTACTATTCGCCATTAATTTGGGTGTCTCTGGGTTGAGTTCCATTCCATATGCACCGGCTCTTTCACCGTGTTTCTTGGTCAGGCCTTGTGGAGTTATACATTTTCTTCATTCTTGAGAAGTGACAACAAAGATGTTAAACACTATTTATTTTCTAGAATGAATAAAAAAAATTATTTTTATTCACAAAATGGTAAATAATACACTTTGCATTGTATTTGGTTTACATATTTGTTAATTTTATAATTCTTTTATAAAATTTTTAATAATTTTTTTTTTAAAGTTTATTTCTTTATGAAATGTTAAATAATGAAATCTTATTCACAGTAAATAACAAATAACGCATTTTACGTGTTTTATATATGTTTATAAAATTTTTGTAAACAAACATTGGTGAGGAAGTCAAAAGTGTATACACTAATAGCGGAGTCAAGGGAATAACTGTTTTTATGCGGGCACGAACATCAAACCTTTCGGTAGATTTATTTTCAGTCTTTCGGTTCTATAAAAAAAATTGCCGATGCACACTGAGATAGCGTCTGTCTGAATTTCTGACATGAGGACAAGTTCATTATTTACATTTCGACTATAGTTTTCATCTTTGCTGTTTTTGTCACAACGTTTCGGCCATTTTGCGCTCTGGCCTTCATCATGTGTATATCATTCTGGGTAACCTACGAGGAATTTTGACCTGCATCCATTATTTAATCTACCAGGACAGACCTTTGTCGTACCACTGTCCATGTCTAGGGATATATGATCTATTTTTAGTACTGCTTAGTAGTTTGTTTCCCAAGTGATGCGATACGAGAGCCGCTAATAAATAAATGCAAATAACAGCAAGTGTTTAGCAACTGTAATAAAAAAGAAATGCTTCCGTGAAGGCAATCAAATATGACGAGCAGTGGGACCACTCATCAGTAGACAATCCAACCTGTTTGGCCAAGGGCTCATTGGAAACTAACGAGCAATAACTGAAGGCCGGAGAGTACAATAACCGAAACGTTGTAATAACAAAAACAAACACGAGGAAAATAGTCCGAATTTAAGCATTGTAAATAACACTGGCTTATTGTTAGAATGTTTGTGTAAGCTCGTAGTGTTAAATAATAGTTTATCAGACTATTATTTTTAAGGGAAGTGTATCTCGGCTCCGACTTCCGAAGGTTAAGATTCGGGGTCAGATGAAAAGATAAACAAGGGAAGTCAATTTTGATTGGCTGAGCTAGCGTGGGAAAGATAGGCAGGAGAATGGTTTCAGCGAGTTGGTTTTACCTGTCAAGCGATGTAATCGTGTTCTCTTTCCTGTCCGAAATGGCTCCGTCTTCTGATGACATCAATGTCCGCGCCAATTTTTTATGATTTGCGAGAGGCGAAAGAAAATTAAAAGAAGAAACAGTGAGCAACGAAATTTCCACTTCACTAACCATTGATTTTTTTTTTTGTAGAGAACATGCGGGAAAGTGTCAGATATATATTGTATAAAAATGTTCTCAGTTGCAATTCGCCGTCCTGGGTATGACTATAAACCGCATCCACGTCCTGGGTAAGACGATAAACTACATCCAGCAGCAAGGCCTCTGATCAGGAGGTTTTGAAGAGTGTGGAACCACTTCTTAATTGCTGGTGTTCTTAGGACTAACCTGACCTAGGATGGTAGCACCTGTTAGGGTCCCATGGGAAAATAGTTAACCTCCAATCTGGGGTAAGACGATAAACTATGTCCAACAGTAAGGCCTCTGATCAGGTGGTTTTGAGGAGCGTGTAACCACTTCTTAATTGATGGTGCTCCCAGGTCCACCCTAATCGGGGGTGGTAGCACCTGTTAGGGTCCCAGCTATAGGCAAATAGTTGACCCACAAACTGGGTTGAAAACACTATGAAAGTGTAAAATTAGGTTTTAATACCAGAAATACTTTCTAAAAAATATTGGCAGCAATACATTTTTGAAAAAAATATTACCAGCAATATATATATATATATATATATATATATATATATATATATATATATATATATATATATATTATTTACATTATTCGACTATTGTCTTCATCTTTTGTCGCCATATTTATCACAACGTTTCGGGCCGTTGTACGCTCCGGCCTTCTTCAGGTGGTTGGAATGTCGAACTGAACCATTTATTTCGCTCACCGAATAATGTAAATAGTGTACATAATAATTCTTCTCAGAAATATGGACAGATCTCGTTATGAAGCTCTACACAAACTCACTTACACTTATATATATATATATATATATATATATATATATATATATATATATACACTGCGTGTCAAATTATTATCGAGATAACTATTTTTCTAATATTTCAAAAACCGTCCAATCAATTCACATAATTTTCACACAATGTTGGCAACACTGACCTGCGCAATCACTGAAATTTTCGTACTGATCTACGCAATGTAAACAAACTGGCGGCATATTTGATATCAGCGCGGAAAAATAGTTATCTCGATAATAATTTGGCACGCAGTGTATATATATATATATATATATATATATATATATATATATATATATTTATGTGTGTGCGTGTGTATGCGTGTGTGTGTTCGTGTAAATTTAGTTCTGAATTATAATCATTTGTTTGACCTCATTCTTGGGGCCATATCACGGTGAATCACCGGTTTTCTTGCGATGACCAAAGTTAAGCAACGTCGAAACTGGTCAGTACGTTGAATCATGTGAAATCGAAATTCCGAGTTAGTGTTCGTTACATTGACTTACGGGCAAATACACATCAGCAATCAAAAAATAAACTGACATCGATGTTCGCGCCAACGTTTCATGATTTACACCAACTAAATAATAATAATAATAATAATAATAATAAACAATGAGCAAATGGAAATTGGTGTGTGCTGAAAATAGTTTTAGTCTTCTGAAGACAATTGATTTTTTTGCCGATAACTAGTGGGAAAGTGTCAGTTACACATTATATATAAAAACGTATAATAACGGTGGGGAAAGGAGAAAGAGCAAAGAGATATTTTTACTAGACAACCTAATTGATGCCACCATTTTTACACATCCTAATCTTTGCCTGAAACCGGCAATCAAATAATGCTACCAAGAGCAAGAGTAATACGACGATTGCTTCATCAATCACGTAGTTTTTTATTCATTGATTTATTTTATTGATCTGGAAATTTCAAAATTCTTTCATGGTATGGAAATTTCCCTTAGACGGCATAATTTGCTATGGACTCGATAAGAATTCGATGCTTTCTAAAACTGGCTGTGTTTAATTAACATATATTGGTCGTTATCTATCTATCTATCTATCTATCTATCTATCTATTTATCTATTCACATCCCTCTCCACTTTTCTAGGTGTTCACCTCTATCTATCGATCTAGCTGCCTTACTCATTTATTTCACATCTATCTATCTATCTATTCTTATTCTGTTCAGTTTTTTTTTAAATCATTTCGACCCAAGCAAGGTGTGAATGCCACTAATACGCAGGGGTGGGTGTTACAGAGAGTGAAAATGAGAGAAAGCATAAAGCTGAATGGAGTTCAAGAAGATAGAAAATGGGGATAGACGTTGCATTCAAAATTTTGAAGATTGTATTTATCAAGGAAGCAGGTAAACGGAAGCGCAAGAAAATAACCTTTTAGAATAGAAGTGACGGTTGCATTTAACTAATTCAACGCTAAAAAGGTGGGGCCTAGTTGCCAATCTAGTAGCACGCTTAAATTCATGGAGTCGGGACACCACAGAAAAATATCTCGTCAGTACAGTTGCTAGGAAAATATTTGTAGAAAAGGCACAGAGAAGCCACGCCGCGTCGGTAAGAAAGTAACTAAAGTCGAGATACCAAGTTAGGATCGATTAAATTGCAGATCCTTCTTTGGGTTTTGTCAAGAACATCAATATAAATAGCAGGAGCATCAGATATGGCAACTGTATTCAATGCACAGACAAATGTTAGATTTGTAAATGTGCGAGATAGATTCTGCCGAGAAAAAAACTTCTGGCACGACACAGTGATCCAACTTTCCTTGCAGTAGATGCAGCTATTGATTCAATGTAGTCGTTCCACTTCAAGTTAGTTGAAAACGTGAAGCTAAGTAGGTGCAGTGTATTTCGCTCCAGGAGTCTATCTTCAGTCATGCTGATGGCGGGCAACTTTCTCTCTGTTAAATGAGAGCAGTTTCGTTTTGGAGGCATTCAAATTTAAAAGGCGTTTTTTCCCCAGTTAGGTCGGATGTCTTTTTCTAGAGCAGCGGTCAGGTTAACTTTGTCATCTCTAACGGATTTGCTATTGAGACAGGAGTAAATGGTAGTGTCATCTGAATAAATGCCTACTTGTGAATTGATGTCATCAGGAATATCATTGATAAAGATGAGAAAAAGCTTCGGACCAAGTATAGAGCCTTGGAGATAATAGCGTTAAGGTGAAAGGATCTGGAGACGAGTCCGTTCAGAAAAACATTCATTTCACGATTTAATAGGAACAATAGGAATAAATCAAAAAAATTCCCCTGTAATCCCGTAGACCTGGAGCTTACGTATAAATCCCGCGTGCCAAAACCTGTAAAACGCCTTCAAGATGACTAAAGCCACAGCTCAAGCTTCGTCGTTTCTTATCAAGAGCATGATATTCAGTGATGGACGGTAGCGCATCGGCGATAGCCCTGGCAAAATATCTATCTATCTATCTATCTATCTATCTATCTATCTATCTGTTCATTATCTATCTATCTATCTATTAACCTGTTCACTATCTATCTATCTATCTATCTATCTATCTATCTAGTAACCTGTTCATTATCTATCTATCTATCTAATAACCTGTTCATTATCTATCTATCTATCTATCTATCTATCTATCTATCTATTACCCTGTTCATTATCTATCTATCTATCTATCTATCTATCTATCTATCTATCTATTAACCTGTTCATTATCTATCTATCTATTAACATGTTCATTATCTATCTAGCTATCTATTTATTAACCTGTTCACTATCTATCTATCATTCTATCTACTGTAACCTAGAGAAGGTTACTGAATAGAATAATCAAACGAAGTTTGGTAATGAACGATAATACTTGAGACAAGAACAACGCATATAAGATTCTCAAGCTGTGCGTAGAAGAATTAGTCAACTGCTATAAGTGAGTCAAGTGAATTCAACAATGGGCCTCAAACTGCAGGATATCTACCAGTTGCCCAACGCCGTCAGATGTGGCAAAAGGTCAAATTTAATGTGGGGTATTCGAGCCCGTAGGCTCAGCCAAATTTTCCCCGTAGATTACGTATAAAACATGGTCGGTAAGCTGTTTATCGAGACGAGAATCTACCCTTTGACATAGCCTCCTGTGGGGATCCTCTTTGCCCGCAGGCAGAGAGTTTGATGACCACAGCTGGAGACGAATATCCAACTGCCCCATGCGGTCAGACATGACACAAAGCCGAATTTAATGTAGGGTATCCTAAACCATAGCCTCGACTAAAAATGCCCCGTATATCCTGTATAAAACGGGTCGGGTATCTGTTTTCCGAGACGAGAATCTTGCCTTCGACATAGCCTTGTATGGGGATCCACTTTGACTGGAGGCAGTGAGTTTTACCAGCACAGTTGGAGACGAATATCCAACAGCAGGATACCTATGCCCCGTCCCACGAGTTTAAATGTGGCACAAGATCGAATTTTATGTGGGGTGTCCTAGACCATAAGCTCAGCCAAAAATTCCCCGTAGATCCCGTATAAAACGGGATCGGCTAGCTGTTTCCCGAGACGAGATTCTGGCCTTCGGCAGAGCCTCGTCGGGGGATCCTCCCTGCCCGGAGGCAGAGAGTTTGACCAGCATAGCTGGAGACGAAACTCCAACTGCAGGATATCTACCAACCGTCCCACACCGTCAGATGTGGCACAAGGCCGAAATTAATGTGGTATATCCGAGCTCGTAGACTCGGCCAAAAATTCCCCCTAGACCCTGTATAAAACGGGGTTGGGTAGCTGTTTCCTGAGTCGAGTCTCTGCCCTTCGACATAGCCTCGTCTGGTGATCCTCTTTGCCTGGAGGCAGCGAGTTTGACCAGCACAGATGCAAACGAATCTACAACTACAGACCAACATACAGTATTTACTATTGTATTTATATGAATGGGAATATACCCATTATCGTCCGTAGGTATGCAGCATCTACTATCCATCGTTGTCTCTTCGTATCTATTTATGTATCTGTCTATCTTATTCTGTTTATATGTATGTATCGGAATGCCTATTTAAATAAGGTCCATTCTATTTATCTATCTATTTATCTCTTTCTTGCTATGTATTGCATTATGTTTATGTATATATATATATATCTGTCTGTATGCCTGTCTACTTCATTCTGTTCCTATCTATCTATCTATCTATCTATCTATCTATCTCAGTCTGCTTCTATCTATCTATCTATCTATCTATCTATCTATCTATCTCAGTCTGCTTCTATCTATCTATCTATCTATCTATCTATCTATCTATCTCAGTCTGCTTCTATCTATCTATCTATCTATCTCAGTCTATCTATCTATCTCATCTATTCTATCTCAGTCTATTCATCTATCTATTCAGTCTATCTATCTATCTATCTATCTATCTATCATGCGTTTATTTCTCTCTATATATCAATCTGTCTGTTCTTTATCCCTCTCTCACTCTCTATCTATGTATACATCTGTGTTCTTTATCTCTCTCTCTCGCTATTTATCAATCTGTCTGCTCTATCTCTCTCTCTCTCTCTCTCTATATATATATATATATATATATATTAATTTTTTTATAAAAAATTATAACATAAGTATGTTATAAAATCACTACAAAATAGCCATTTTGTTTCAACACACTCTGTGTCTTATCAAGTGATGATGTTGAAAAGAAAATAAATGGTTTTAAAAGTTTCAGATTAATTAACGATCCTACACTAGGGGGAAACATTGTTACAAAAGCTAGAATAACCAATCAAAAACGAAGTATAGAAAGATTCAAAAGCTTGACAACGAAATCCTGCTATAATAGCTTTTCAGATCTTTTAAATACGTGTAATATTAAAAAAATAATTTATACTAACTAATAATTATAAAATTATATGATAAAATTTAATATTAAAATTAAAAAACTGGCAATTTTAAAATCCAAATTTAATCACTATTAAGTTTAAAACTACAAAATTATTGAGAAAAAAAATATATATGTTTATTCAATTCATTTCTTCATTGAAATTACGTTCGACATATGTATATGCCTGTTGTTTACCGCCAGTTATCTATCTATTTATCTTTCTATCTATCTCATCATATGTCCACATCTATGTTGAAAATTTGCAACTTACTGGCAAAAATTTGCAACTTATCTGGACTAGAACGCTGACCGCTGAAGCCGCCGATAAATCAACATTTATACAAGCTCAGTGTGAACTGTTTGTCCAAAGCTATTGATATTTACAATGTCCGGGTTTTCAAAGTCACCTGGCTTTGATGCTCAGTGCTATGGCTTTACTTGTCTAATTCCTGAAAAGACCTCGAAACAAACCTATACAAATTCCTCTTTGCGACAATTTATCTTGTAAGCCGATTTTTGCATGTATAAATAAGACTACTTGTATTATATTATTTTATACATACACACATATATATATATGTGTTCTGTCCTCTTGGTTGTGTATGGGGGTGAGTATATATGATGCATAAATTGTTGTCTAAATTACGTAAAAATGAAAAAAAAAACACTGACATCTCATTTTAACAGATACATCCATGGGCAAAATTATAGGGAAGATGTAGAAAGGTTAGAAATATGACTGAAACTCCTACATATATTGACGGAAAACAATATATTAAACATTCTTGAATTGATGTTGTACTGGCATTTATGGGTACCAATGATGATTTGTATTCATTTTTAATTATTTTGCATATGTGGCAAAATCATTTATTTGAAATTTAATCTGTAGTACTAGAATTTAATCTGCAGTGCTAAATCTTTTCTTATTTTTTTAGTAACAAGTTTTGTATCAATTTTAAAGTGCGTCATCATTTCTGAAACTAAAAGAGCTGAAATCATCGTATTTCTCAAAGAAGGGTTATTCCAAGTCAAAAAAGTGAAATGCTCAATAAATGGTGGACAAAGAAGCATTAAATTTTTTTTTCATAAATCGTGATGGTCAAGGCCGGAAAATGTGAACAAAGTCAAGGGAAATCAAATTGCTAAAGAGGATAACTCTAAGTGACAGGAAAAAAAAAACTCTTCTAAAGTGACTTCTGAAATTCAAAAGGTAACAAAATGATATCGACTCTCACAATGAGAAGAAGGTTAATAGTAAAAAATGGTGTCTTAGTTTAATATGAAAAAGAAACTTACTTTTGCAAAAGAGCATGTAATCGGACGGCTGGGGATTGGGCCGAAGTTTGTTTGGTCTGATGAAAGCAACTTTGAAGTAAGTTCCTTTAGTAGTTGAAACTAATTTATTCGGAATAATTGATTTTATTACGCCTATCAATAATGTATTTTTACTAAATAGAAAATAATCCCAGGACGCGGATATTTATATATATATATATATATATATATATATATAAATATAAAATATACCTTGATAACTTAAAAAACGACCCCAGGAAACGTGGATGTGACGAAATCGTTAAAAACACGTCAGGCTATATAACGATTCCGTATAGGATACAGGTTCGATTCCTGTCGGAAGACACATATTTTTCATGACAATTTCTTGGACATTCAGACCGGTTAATACTGTTTATTATAAAACAGAGCATTTACATAAATATTTGTATCTATAAAAAAAGAATGTATAAACATAAAAATGTCTTTATATATATGTATGTATGTACGTATTCTTATTATCAGAGATTATAATAAAAACTGTTTGAAATCGCTTTAGCAAGGTTGATTTTATTATTTCTATATATATATATATATATATATATATATATATATATGTATATATATGTGTGAAGAAAAAGAACAAAATTTTCAAAGTAAATTAATCTATTTTTTAGTTGTCATTGGCTCCTTTTCCTTTTATAACTGCCTTTAAGCGATTTTGCATATTGGAAACTCATTTCGCCCAAGTAATTCGCTTGATTTTCTCCCGTTCTTCATAAAGTTTGGCTTCTACTTCGCGTTTTGAAGAATATTTGTGCACGCTCCCCTCTTCTACTTAAGAATGCCCACAGATTTTCAATAGGATTCCGCTCAGGGGATTGAGGATGCTACTTCATTACCCTCACTTCTTTCTTTTCAAACCATGCCTTCGAAACACTGGATGTATGGCGTGATATTGGAAGATTACTCCATCTGGCATGTTATTGTTGAAAATTTTCTCTAATGAAGGTGGATAAGTTTGGTCTAACATGCTATTGTAAATTTTCGAATTCATTCTAACCTCACATGTGCATAACCTTTATTCTGCAAGTAAAAAATAATACAAGAGAACAAAAACGAAACTCCGGGAAGACGACATGCAGCCCCAAATTATTACGTTCCTACCTCCAGCTTTTACACTTGGGGCAATAAAATTGAGCATATATTTCCCCAACACTTTGACGGATATAAACAACTCCAGGGGTTCCAAAAATCTGATAAAAATAGAAATTTTCGGGATAATTTTCTATTCAATAAAAATACAGTATTAATAGGCGTAATAAAATTAATTATGCCCAATAAATTAGTTTCAACTAATAAAGGAACTTACTTCAAATTTGTTTTCACCAGGCAAAACAACTTTGGCCCCATCCTCAGCCGTCCGATTTTCATGCTCATTTACAAAGGAAAGTATTTTTTTCTTATTAACTTCAGACACCAATGGTTTATTTTTCGAGCTTTACATCCTATAAGACCAACTTGTATTAAACTTCTTCTCATTGTGCGATATCACTTTGTTGCATT